GTTGGGAACTTCCTTACAGAGTTTGTCGTATGTCGCTTTGTCAAACAAGACCAGATTATTGAGCTTGTCCCGAACTTTGCCTTTGGACCACTTCTGCTCACCAAAAGGAAAAGGAAAGTCAGTGCTCCTGGAAGAAATCACTCCCTCCCTCCCCAAACAACCTGTGTCAGAGAACGCTCTTCCACAGCCGTGGTGCTATACTGCAAGGGTGTGTGTTCCCATGGAATTCAGAATTTACAGAAACTACAAACTAAGATTCAAGTAATTTGAAACGAGGACACAAAATACAAGGAAGCCTAGTTGCCATTAACGGCGTCAAAGATGCGTTAGACTGGGGGAAAAAAAGTCTATGCGAATTTCGGATATAGGCTGAACCCCACGACACCAATTAAAATATCATGTGCTGAACATCAGAATATACACTCTTGTTTAACTTCTAAGTAGTGCGTACCACCCTATTCTTCCCAAAAAAAACACAACGGTGATGAGACCACAAGCTCTAACAATCGGACTCTAGACCGCACAACCTTAAAAGCCATTTGCTCTACAGGTCACTTATTACCACAACCACATGGGTCCGGCGTCCCCAGTACTCCCCATTCCTGGAGGGGCGGCTCACTCCTACCTTCTTTTTGGCCTTGCCCCCAGATTTGTTCACTGGGTCTTTGTCTTTCTTGGCCGACTTTCCGGCATCTTTCTTCTTCTTGTCATCCTTGGGCGGCTGTAGAGAAAAAGGCAGAATGCAGCCAGGTCACAAGGCAGCCCCGCACCGCCCTAACCCCACCACCGGAGCACATGGATGAAGCCATCCCCCGCCCGCCCGCCTGAAGAAGCGGCCCGGCGGGTCGGGGGCCCTCCGTCCGGTGCCCTCTCAACTGCGCCCCAGCACCGCCCGGCTCTCAGAACCGCACCGGCTTCCCACCCCTAAGAGCTCACCATAGCGAAGCTGGGAGAGCAGCGTCCACCCCTGCAGCCTCCCTAAGATGTCGGACAGAAAGGAAACACCGCTCCCCGACCGGCCCAGAAACCTCCACCCGCAGCGAGCGCTTCCGGGGCAAGGGGCGGAGCCCGCGGAGGAAGGCCGGAGGCCCGGCCCCCTCGTGCCGCGGGGAGCGGGGCGCAGCGACGGGGCAGTCGTTCCCGAGCCGCGCACCCCGGACCCTGCCCGCGACTTATTGGGCTTTGCGGCTAAGTTGTGAGGCAGCCACACGTTGTATTCCCTGGCCCTGGAAACAAGAGACAGAAAACAATCAGCCAGGCCCCGCAACGACCCCTGCGACCCCGCTAAGCGTGGTGCTTCAAGTGCGCAGGCGCCGCAACCAGCGCGCTCCGGGCTGGGAAGAGGGGGCGGGGGGCGGGTCCCACGGCTGCGGTTCCGGGGCGGGGCCGCCAGGAACAAGCCCAATCCGCGTCTTCGGCGCCGTGGCGGCCGCAATGGCGATTTTTAGTGTGTATGTGGTGAACAAAGCTGGCGGTCTCATCTACCAGTTGGACAGCTACGCGCCCCGGGCCGAGGCTGAGAAAACTTTCAGTTACCCCCTTGATCTGCTGCTGAAGCTGCACGACGAGCGTGTGCTGGTCGCCTTCGGCCAGCGCGACGGCATCCGGGGTGGGCTAGGCTTGCGTCCGAGGGGCGGGCCCGGAGCTGCGGCGTGGGCTGGTGTCTCTGCGGGGCTGGGGAGGGCGCGGAGGGAGAAGGGAGAGGTGGGTGAGGCCGGGTCGCTAGTCCCTTCGGCGGAATCCCCACGCTGGGGCTTCGTTGACCCTTAGCCTCACCTCTGCAGTGGGACACGCAGTGCTGGCCATCAATGGCGTGGACGTGAACGGCAAGTACACGGCCGATGGGAAAGAGGTGCTGGAGTACTTGGGCAACCCTGCCAATTACCCGGTGTCCATTCGATTCGGCCGACCCCGCCTCACCTCCAATGAGAAGCTCATGCTGGCCTCCATGTTCCACTCGTAAGTCCCCCAGCCTTCCTGGGGCCTGTGGGCCTGCACTTGGCCCTTGGGCCGGCTGGATTAGTGTGGTTCTGCGGGAAGTCTCCTGAGCGGCCGTGCTTTATCTTTCTTCGCCTCCTTTAAATCGTCAGTTCTTGCAGTTGTGAAAGAAAAAGAACTAATCCCGATGACTAGGTTTTAGGTAACACCGGCAGTGGTGTGGCCTTGCACAAGTCAACTTCTCTTCGCTCAGCTTTAGTTTCTAAATAAAGTAAGGTAACTGAATTAAATGATCCTTAAGACCTTTTCCCATTCTCAACGATAGTAGAAGGTGTGCTGGGTAATCGTAGCTGTGGGGTAAGTAACCATGGCACGCATTCCCAGTGGTAATTTTACCCAAAGTTTTCAATGTAAAATGTTTTTTTGTTTAAAGATTTTATTTATTTATTTGACCGAGAGAGACACAGCGAGAGAGGGAACACAAGCAGGGGGAGTGGGAGAG